AAGTGATCAACTCAGATAATGAAAGCAATAAAAGATGCTCAAGGGAACCTGATTACCAAGGAGGAGAAACAAATTAAACAATGGGCCGATCACTTTAAAGGACTCTTGAATCGACCACCGTCGGCAACTCTCCCAGAAATACCACCAACAGCACACACGGAAATAGCTGCTAGTGGACACCAATCCTCCAGCGAAAGAAGAAATCCTGAATGCGATCAACTTACTGAAGGCCAGATGGGAAGGCAGCAGAACCAGACGGCATTCCTCCCAAAGCACTAAAGACGGCCCCAGAGATTATGGCAGATGTTCTAACTCCATTACTGCAAAAAGTGTGGAAGGGAGGAAAGGTCCATACGGATTGGAAGGTGAGCAGTGCTCAAATAATTGTCAAACTCACTCAACAGCTAGCTACATGAGAATGCCACGTGTCAGGTGATCCATATTGGAAAACTCAGCTAACTAAGCCCCTCAAGTCCATACAGGACTAAGACAAGACTGCCTATTATCACTGATGATATTCTTAATTATGGTGGACTGTATTATGCGTCAGACTGTGCATGGGAGTAAGAAGACAGGAATACGCTCCATTGACCAATAAGAAGACTCTAGAAGATCTGGATTTCGTGCATGGATGATTTATGTTTAGTGTCACACAAAGTCGAAGAATTACAGGCGAAAACCGATAAACTGGCTGAAAAAGCTGGCTGGCAGCGAAGACAGGACTGGAGGTAACCAACCACGCACCAACAGCAACAACAACCAGCACTAATCACCATCAACGGGAGAGATTTGACAGAGGTTACTTCCTTCACTTATCTGGCTAGGAAGCGCGGTTTCAACCACAGGTGACAGCATGGCTGAAGATGTTAAAGCCAGGCAGAATTGGAAAGGCAAGATACGCCTTCATCAGCCAACGTGAAACCAGTTTGGAAATCTTCTGTACTAACTCAGCCAGAATAAAGAACAAGATTCGGATTTTTCAACACAAATGTTAAGTCACTCAACTTTTCAATATCGGTCAGAAACTTGACACGCGCGTTACGAAAAGTATTTCCAATAGGCTACTGAAGGCTTTTATCAAGAGCTGCCCACTTCACTGGCTGACTCCATACTGAAGATCGGATAGCCGGCAGGCCAACAAGAAACTCTGCTTAGCAACAAACCAACCAAGAGCCGACTGCTCATCAAACAAATAAGTGTGGGAGAAAATGGAGATGAATTGATCAGGCATACGTTGAAGAGGCTGTCGGATGACATCACGTGCAATGCAGGCCATGGCTCGAGTGGAATCCCAGTGGGAAGCGACGAGTAGGTCGTTGGTGCGAGGTTGACATGGAGGAGATCATGTGAAGGGGAGGAGGAGGAGATGGAAGATTATGCGCAATCGTGGGCCCAGCTAAAGAGGAGCACAGAGAACAGGATAAAGTGGAGATGTGTTGTTGTAACCTCATGTTCCACTCGAAAACCAATTGAAAAATAATATAATACAATAATAATAGCACTTTTAAGTCTACAACACAACATGGTTATTATTTCATTACAAATTATTATCGTCATTTGTCACGCTCCAAATTACGTCTAGTCTGATGGTATTAGATAGTTGGAGGCCATCGGCCACAGGAAGCCTTGTCTGACCTAGGTTTCGTGCTAGTTGGCACTCATCAGCAAGGCGTATAATGATATCAACAATTCACAGTACACTGTGATGGCGAGCCACCTAATGGCATAGTGGCCACATTGCAAGCTTGACTGATAGAATTCAGTCTGCCCCAAACAAAGGACTAGACACGTCACACTAGTTACTAGTGTCCAATCAGGCAAAGGAGACCTCGCAACACTCTAGCAAACAACTAGGTACCTCTCAGGCAAAAATTCGTCACAAATTAAGCCAGTGAAGGATGAAAATGGAAAGTCAATCACCAAAGAAGTGGAGCAAAGGAAACACTGGGCTGAACACTTCAAAAGACTACTAAACCGACCGCCACCTACAACGCGCCCAACAATACCAACAACGGAAGCAGAATTACCAGTGAACATCAACCCCCCGACGAAAACAGAAGTCCTGAAGGCAATCAAGATGCTGAAAACTGGAAAAGCAGCAGGACCAGATGGAATCCCAGCAGAAGCATTGAAAGTGGACCCAGAGAGAACAGCAGACTTCATGACGCCACTACTGGAGAAGGTGTGGAAAGAAGGCAAAGTACCCGAGGATTGGAAGAAAGGATACCTATTCAAACTACCAAAGAAAGGAGACTTAAGTCAATGCAAGAACTGGCGCGGAATTATGCTCCTGTCCATCCCAAGCAAAATACTAAGCCGCATCATCCTGGAAAGGATTAAACAAGCCCTGGATGAAAAACTTCGACCAGAACAAGCTGGATTCAGGAAAAACAAGTCATGTATTGATCAAATCGCCACACTACGGATCATCATTGAACAAAATTTGGAATGGCAGTCACCTCTCTATCTCAACTTCATCGACTTTGAAAAGGCCTTCGACAGCGTCGATCGAGAGGTGATTTGGCGACTACTTCGCTACTACGGGGTGCCGCCGACAATTATACATCTCATCCAACAGTTGCATGACAACGCTGCATGCCAAGTAATCCACAACGGGAAGCTCACGGAATCCTTCGAAGTGAAGGCAGGAGTAAGACAGGGTTGCCTACTATCGCCAATGATTTTCCTGATTGCAGTAGATTGGATAATGCGACAGACGGCGGGCAATGAGGAAACAGGCATTAAATGGACCCACACAAAAAAGACTTGAAGGATCTGGACTTCGCCGATGATATATGTCTGATTTCCCACAAATTGGGAGATATGCAAGCGAAAAGTAACAAGTTGGCAGAAGAAGCATCAAAGATAGGTCTCCAGGTGAACATAGAGAAAACAGAGGTGATGAAGATCCCTGGCCAACACCAACAACAACAGACAGCAATCAGCATAAATGGAAAGAACCTGAAAGAAACAACCTCCTTTACCTACCTGGGAAGCATTGTTTCAACTACAGGCGGAACTGACGAGGATATCAAAGCAAGGATCGGGAATGCAAGGCAAAGCGAGCTTTCATTACTCTCAAGTCTGTGTGGAGGTCAACATCATTCAGCGTCAAAAATAAGATCGGGATTTTCAACTCCAATGTGAAGTCAGTACTACTATACGGATCAGAGACTTGGCGTATCACAAAAAGCACCTCAAACAAGCTACAGACCTTCATTAACAGATGTCTTCGCTCAATACTCAAGATCAGATGGCCGGAAAGGATCAGCAACCAAGATCTCTGGGAGCGAACCAACCAGGAACCGATTGTGAAACAAATAAGCAGGAAGAAATGGAGATGGATTGGCCACACTCTCAGGAAACCAGCAAGTGACATCACTAGACAAGCAATTGCTCGAGTGGAACCCGAAAGGGAAGCGACGAGTTGGTCGTCAGTGCAAGGGTGACCTGGAGGAGATCATGTGAAGAGGAGATGAAAGCATGTGGGCAGACCTGGAGCCAGGTGAAAACTCTAGCAGAGAACCGAACGCAATGGAGACGCATGGCTGAAGCCCTATGTTCCTCTAGGAACTAAAGAAAATAATAATAATAATCAAACTATGTCTAGACTATCCCATATATTGATTTACTTCGCTATAGTATGTTCACATTGTCTCTCAGACTACTGACTATACTTATCCCTTGAAATCTGTATATATATTTTTTGAGTCTCTATACTCAAACACACATCAGTGAACTGTTACACTTCATATTTTATCTCCTATTCTCATCGATCGTACATATTCGAAATTCTATTGCCAAGTATCGGTTTGTAGGGATTTTATTAGATTGGTTAGAAGATTTCATCATGAGCTGACGTTGGTTAGACAACCATTAGAAAATCAACCAGGGATTGCTGGGTGCTCAGCTCTTTCGTCAGTCTAGTTTGGGACTCTTCAGCAGTACGCACGCACCACAAAAGGGTTCGAACCCAGGACCTTCTGGTTACAAGGCGAGCTAGCTAGTAGACCACTAAGCCACCGGGAACTGATCCAGTGGCCGGTCCATGAATTCTAACTTCTGCCAATTCACGACATAACGCGACCACTTCGCAATGTCTTCGATGAATAAGTGTCCTCACCACCAACCTGCTGTACCCTACTGGTCACGACTAGAACCCCACGTCACTGCCTGAATAGGACCAGTGGCTAGTGAGCATCAGATCAGGTCGGAGGTAAGGACAGTTACTCATCGAAGAAGACATTGCGAAGTGGTCGCACTTTGTCGCGAATTGACAGAAGTTGGAATTCATGGACCAGGCAGTGGATCGGATCCCAGTGGCTTAATGGTTTACGAGCTAGCTCATTATATAGCCAGAAGGTCCTGGGTTCGAAACCTGGCGGTGGGTGCGTACTGTTTACCAAAAAGTCCCAAACTAAGACCACAGGAACAACTATCCAGTGCTCCTTTGCTGGTTTTCCAGTGGTTCACTAACTGATGTCAGCTCATGATGAAATCCTCCAACCAATCAAACAAAATCTCTACAAAAGAACCAACACTTGAAAATGATAATTAACCAATAAGAATTAAGGTAAGCCACCAGTCACCAAAGCTATTGAAATCTGCCTGTAGTTATTTTCTCTTCTTTCCTACTAAAAATGTCCTATTTTTACTGCGCATTGCTTATGATCAGTTCATATGGTTTTAAACAATAGAGACTGTCGTATTTGCTTACAAATTTCTCATAGGAAATCGTAAAGCGAAATGAACAAAAATTCAATTCTATTTTGAAAATTCAAATAAAAAGAAGCCAATACATATTAAAATGTTAAAATCCTATTCGTATTCATGGAAATTTGTTTTAACGCATTAAACATATGCATATATATATATGGATATGTTTACGTTGTCATGGTTTTCAAGGTTATCAATGTTCAATATTGAATTTTCAATGCCTAAAAAGAAATTCGTTTATTCTTTGTTTTCGAAATTCCCCAATGTCCCATGTTTTTATCATTTTAAATTGTTAAAAGATAATTGTCTCTTTGTGATCGATATAAATTTTGATAAAATGTTAATTTATCATATAATATAGATGCAAGATGTTCATTTAAAAACATTCCATCACGATCAGCAATAGCGATTAGTTTTTTCAATGGTTCTGCTTGTTCTTTTAAGGCTTCACGAAACTTATTGAATAAAAGCTGAAAAGAGTAGTAAAATAAAGAAAAATCAATAAATCAATGAATTACAAGGATCATAAGTATTGTAAACTCAAATGAGGACATTGAGCATTGGTGTTGTGCAGCTACAAAGTCCAGGGCTGCTAGTTATGTCTGGTTGAAGACCTTATTTATGACTATCGACCTCCTCAGGGTAAGTCGGGATGTACGGCTTTGTGGTCTCACTTCTTCAACCTTCTCATCTTCAGAGCTGAAGGGTAGCATAGCTGGCTTTCTGGTCATACGAAGGCAACACCTTACTACTGTTATCTCCTTATTCGTCAAACTCCATTTTGGCAACTCCCTTTATTCTTATAGTCAGCCACACGAATCGTTTTTGTTATAGTAGGATCTTGAGAAACATTCATTCTGGTCAGTGTAGATAGCTGGATTATTGTAATACTCAAGACCAACGTTGACATCAAGGTAAGACCTGTCGATTGCAGGAATTATACTACAATATATGAGGGGAAATTTAGACGATTGTGAACGCTTAATTCTCCAAGTTCCATTACTCACCTTTCGTTTATTTGCGCTATTATTATTTTGATGTAGTTGTGTTCCCTCAACTGTTGGATGGAATACGTTAGAAGCTTTCATTACCCCACTACTAGGCAACGTCTTCAGCGAATACTTCAATTTGTTGAAGTGAGCCTTTAAATTTCTCCACGAGGTTATTAGTCATCTCTCCTGGTGGTCACCTTGAACGTCGTGATTGGTGGCTCTTGTTTTGTTTTCACACCCTCTGGTCTATTTGTATTGATAGTGATTGTTTCCTTGATCTGAAATTTGACTTTGCGTGCATGAGAGTTTCTTCTTATGGATTGGTAGATTTCATCTATGTCGATGTGCCCTTTAATTGCCGATTCACTGGAATTCCAGGCTTCCGAAAATTCCTCTGAGTAATATTTCAACGTTGTCCCAGACGAACTGGTGTCCTTGGTCACCTGTATGCAGTGAATGATATAAGGGAGTGGATGTCATGTCTTCTGACAGCTTGTTTATATTCATGGATACGAAGACGAAGGGGGAGTCCACTTCGATCAATGTAATGCTTTTCTCAGTTGTTACAATTTATTTTGTAGATGGTGTTGGTTTTATCTTCTTTCTCTCTCTTCACCAATGTTCTACTGACAGAAACCATATATTTTCTGTGTGAATTCATGGAATGCAACACCACAGATGCCGACATACCAATGCATTATCTACAGCAGCTGTCACTACCTTGTATCTTCAACGTCTACTCTGTTGAGTCATTTGGTTGACACAGATCTGAGTGAAGTGATTTTGTTGGTTTGTGTGAGACATCAATCCCTAAAGGTTTGAGATGGTTAGGACATGTGTTACGTATGCCTAGTCATCGCCTTCCTCGACAACAAGCAATGTTAGCTGATATTGTGTCAGGTTGGAAAAGAGCTAGCGGTGGTCAAAACAAAACACGGCACCAGTCAATGAAATCTACAACAGTTAGTCTAAGCCACGTAAGAAGGTGTAGACTTCCTGGTTGGGGTCCTCGGGACGGTAAAAACCAGTGGTTGGAAACAATTGGTGATATGGCTCAAAATCGTTCTCAGTGGCTGGTGCAGATGCATCCACTCCTTGTGACTTATGATTTCCAATGAAACTGTTTTGTTCTTCGTTATTACTATTCCTTTGTCTCACACCTCTGTTTACTGTCTCTAATGTGCATTTCTCCTACTTTCTTCTCTTGCTTTATGTGCTACATGTGGGGAGTGTGGCGACGTGAACTGCTGCACACCGGTGCAAAGTTCTATGTCGGAAACAGACAGACTGACAAAGGTTTGAAGACTTTTACAGTGGTTTCTGAGACGTTCTCTATGTGTCATAAGATGATTTTCTTTGTATTTTCCTTGGCGGCCTTTGATTTAGTTGGTTGTCTTGAGGGTAAAATGCCAAAGAACTTTCGGAAGCCTGGAATTCCAGTGAATCACCAATTAACAGGCACATCGACATAGATAAAACCTATCAATCCGTAAGAAGAAACTCTCATGCACGCAAAGTCAAATTTCAGATCAAGGAAACAATCACTTTCAATGCAAACAGACTAGAGGGTGTGAAAACACACAAAAGCAACCACTCACGTTCAATCAAGGCCACCAAGAGAGAAGACTAATAAACTCGTGGAAAAATTTCAAAGCTCGCTTCAAGAAATTGAAGTATTCGCTGAAGATGTTGCCTAGTAGTGCGGTAATGAAAGCTTCTAACGTATTCCATCCACCAGTTGAGGGAACAAAACTATATGAAAATCATCCACCTGAGCTACAAATCTTCTGCACTACTGTTAATGGTATCATTACAACAAATGTAATCAATTTTTGGATAAACGGGACTACACTACTACTGTGATAACAGATTGTTTCATCGTAAAATTTACTAACTGAATTCAGAAATGATAACTGGCATTCCATTGATAAGCGTTAGCAATAAAACTCTTTATGTGTTTAATTTCCAGTGTTGGTTCGGAGGACTTGTAGGGATTTCATAGATTGGTTACAGGATTTCATCATGTGGTGACATCAGTTAGAGAACGATTGGGAAACCTGGGAGTACTGGATAGCTGTTTCGTCCTAGTTTGGGACTCTTCATAGGTATGCACCTACCGGGATTCGAACCCAGAACCTCCTGGTTGCAAGGCGAGCTTATAGACAATTCAGCCACTGAGACCTGATCCAATGGTCCATGAATTCTAACTTCTGCCAATTCACGACATAGCGCGACCCCTAGCCAATGTCTTCGGCTAGTATTTGTCCTCAAACCCGACCTGCTTCACCCTACTGGTCACAAGTTCCCACTAGAACCCCAGGTAACTACCCACCTGAATACTGGCCAGTCACTAATGAGCATCAGATTGCAGGGATTTGATTGATTGGTTACAGGATTTCATCATGAAGTGACATCGATTAGAGGACCATTGAAAAACCAGCTAAAGGTACTGGACAGCTGTTTCATCGTAGTTTGTATAAATTTCATTATCAAAGATTTTGATGCACAATTTATCATGTATTGACAGAGTTGAATTCACTTCTAACATTTCTAAATTGAACAATCGTTTATTCTTAAATCTGTAAAATTTGAAAATAAATCTGGCGCAATTTTCAAATTTGAGAATGGCATACTATGCTGATTTAAATTCTCGTAATGCTGGGCACAGTTGGCTGTTAAGGAAAGTTTCTAATTGTAGTCAACTCTATTTCCTTATTTTTCAAGCTTAGTCATGAAATGACTTCAGTTTAGGAACTATTAAAAATGAGCAGAGAGTACTGGAAAACAATTTCGTCCTCTTTTGGGACTCTTCATTAGCAAGTATCCATATTCCAAGTGTGAATGAAACCTACAAAACTTACTTAGGTTACAAAGTGAGATGGCTCATGAATTTTAACTTTCTCCAATTCACGATATATAACTACACTGTCATTAACCTATTGCCAGACAAATATGCCAATAAAAATGGAGGTGGTTTAGACACACTCTCAGTAGACTGTCCATTTTGATCCGGTTAGCTGTAGTCGTCTTTTGCTGGTTCCATGACTAACCCTAAGCTGCCATCTCCTCTTCACACAATCGCCTTCATGTCATCATTGGACTCACACTTATTTCTTCGCTTCTCATTCAGGTTCTCGTGGAGGGCCGGTCTGGCACCTGATATTGTCAGCCAGCGACTTCCTTATCCATCATCCATACCGCCTGTAGTTTACAAAGATGCTGCCCAGGTTAGGTAAATGAAAATGGAGACTTTTTAAGGCTTCTCCGGTTGCCAGTGATTGATGCTTGTTGTTGTTAGCCATCGGGTACCTTCACCACCTTCGCCTTCTCAATGTTCATGTGTAGTTCAGTTTTCTCAGCCTCTTCTGCTCCAACTTTACTAGTTTTCTCGTTTACCTTGGGGTCCAAAGTTCAGCGAAAGACGGAATGTTATGCCTAGCGCTAGTCATCCTAGGCCAGAAAATCAATCCAGTCGCTGCACAAACTTCAAAATCTAGGAAGAAAGTAGAAATAACGAATAAAGAATGCTACATGCATGAATATATTTGTGCGTTGAAGTTTCTGTAGCAATTTGGTTAAGTTTAAGAGGTGGAATTGCTAGCACTATGCCCCAACCTTCCCTCTTTATCCGTGCTTGGGACCGGCTAGAAAACTAGCGAGCTGGTAATCTAGGCGAAGAAGCAACAAAGACAGGAATCCAGGTGAACATTGACAAGACGGAGGTTATGAAAATAACCAACCAACCAACAATAACAACAGCAGCAGCAACATCCACCGCCAATCACCATCAACGGGAGGGATTTGAAACAGGTTACTTCATTCACTTATCTAAGGAGCATTGTCTCAACCACAGGAGGAACGGACGAGGATGTCAAATCGAGAATCGGAAAGGCGAGAAACACATTCAATTCATCAACCTGAAACCAATCTGGAAATCTTCCACTGTCACTCAGCCTGCATCAACAACAAAATGATTCGGATTTTCAATACAAACGTCAAGTCAGTCAGTTCTTCTATACGGATGGATCAGAAACTTGGTGGGTCACAAAGAATATTTCCAACAGGTTGCAGGGAGACCTTTATCAACAGCTGTCTTCGTCGCTCTATACTCAAGATCAGATGGCCAGAAAGAGTCGCCAACAAGAAACTATGGGAACAAACAGAACAAGAACCAATCGCTCAACAAATTTGCAGGAGAAAGTGGAGGTGGATTGGACACTCGCTGAGGAGGCCACTGGGTGACATTGCGCGTCAGGCCAACGCTCGAGTGGAACCCGAAAGGAAAGCGGCGAGTGGTTCGTTGGTGCAAGGGTGACATGGAGGAGATCGTGTGTAGAGGAATTGAAACAGTATGGACTAACATGGATGCAGGCGAAAAGTACAGCAGGAGACAGAAGCAAATGGAGACGTGTAGTTGAAGCCCCAGGTTTCACTAGGAACCCAAGGGAACAATAATAAAAATACGTGCATTAAAGTTA